TATATATACATATGCGCTGAAATTCAATAAGTTTGCACATTCCATAATGATGAAAAGGAAACTCTGACTCATTTGTTGTTTGACTGTAATGTTGTACAATTCTGGGCACTTGCAAATAAATTTCTAGAATGAAATCTATCTATCTATCTATCTATCTATCTATCTATCTATCTATCTATCTATCTATCTATCTATCGAATCTATTTTATATTTTGTTAGGCAAATTTTATATTGTGCACTTATCGCAAATTTTAATAAAATTGTCTTAAATATTAGAGGGATAGTTCACCCAAAAATGAAAAATCTGTCATTAATTACTCACCCTCATGTCATTCCAACAACTTTATTCAACAATTTATTTTCTTCCGTGTCAGTATAAATGCATGGTACTCTCGTGAACGTATTGCGGAGACTGACATGGAAGAGAAGAAATCATTATTTTTGTTTTCTTTGCGCACAAAAAGTATTCTTGTAACCTCATAAAATTAAGGTTGAACCACTGATGTCACATGGACTATTTTAACAATGTCCTTACTATGTTTCTGGGCCTTGAATGTGGTAGTTGCGTTGCTGTCTATGTAGGGTCAGAAAGCGCTCGGATTTCATCAAAAAATATCTTAATTTGTGTTCTGAAGATGAACAATGGTCTTACGGGTTTGGAGCGACACGAGGGTGAAGAATTTGCAATTTGGCTGAACTATCCCTTTAAATATTAACATCTGTGTATGTTCTTTAAATAACTATTTTATGTTGTCTTGATGCAATCTTAACAGACATCTATGCTATTGTGTATAGTATCAATAAATCAATACAGTAGTAACGATAGATTAAAGTTATTTCCATTAATGAATTTAAATTGCAGATTTTACTGAATAAACTTACAGTACAGCACATGAATATTAAGTCACACATTTTTCCTTATTCAAATAAGGTCTTCTTCGACAATAATAAAATAGGTGTTAGTCTGGAGAGTCTCATGTTCTTGTCGAGACTGGATGCGTGTTTGGAAACAGTTTGTTCTGACTGTTATTTTATGGGGTGTTTTGAGTGACAGAGCTGTCTGGAATCATCCGTTAGACTGATGCTAAGTGTTAGTCACTGTTTTGACTAGTAGGCTGACGTTAAAGTTTCACCTCACATTCTCAGATGTGATATTTCTGGTTTATTTAGCCTCGATAAAGTACACATTCAAATAAATAGGAAGAGGTCTTTAAGGAGACATTAAAGTTTAAAGATATTTTAGTGTGTTTTAAAAACTGCAATGATTATTTTCTGAAGATTATTTGTAATGGATACAAATGCCCCCATTCATGAACAATTATATACAGGTTCTCAAAATAAACCACTGTCTACATTAGTGTTGCCATAAACCATGTCTAATCTGAAATTTGATTTGCATAAATGCAAGAGAGAAATGTGCCTGAGCTGTCAGGAGAGTATAGGTCTCTGAGCATAACACCAATGGGACTAATATAATTTTCCATATCAGTGACTGAAATAACCATCCCAGATCAACAGGGGTCAAATTGAAAGAGCTGTGAAAGCCCATTGGATTATATAACCAAGCATCAATATATAATACACATAATATCTATCTATCAAACATTCTACCTCATTAACGTCCTGCAGTCTGCTGCTGAACCTCAGAGTGTAATAAATGCAGCTACTATTTATTTCTTGCTGCAGGTAAACTGCGACCCACATGTTTAAGCTGAGTAGGCTAGTTTACAAGGAAGTGTGAGAGATTTCAAGAACAACTTGGAAAAAAAATCCCTTGTGACACATTGAAAGCGATACAGAAAACTACAGCTGAGTCATAAAGCTTTAGGGGTTTGTGTGTGTGAAAGAAATAACAAAATAACCTCTGACTTTCTCTTTCCTCTTCTCTCTTCCTCATTCTCATTCCCAGACTACAGTTCAGGTTCCTGAAGAGAACGCCAGACCCTTAAACCCCCCACAGCAACAAGGTAAAGCTGGTCTAATGCATCACCTGATTTATCAGCCCAGTAAATTCCATCCATTGTAATACTCATGATTTAAGTGGATGCATTACGAGAAAGAAACCACACCCTGTACTGAGGTCAACTGATTTTCATATTCTCCTTCAGCGGCTCGGCCTGGAAAACGCAGAAAACTCATGACGGCTCCGAAGACTCAGGCGGAGAAAAGGCCGAACAGGAAAAAGATCATCATTACAGTCGTGATGGTGGTGGTTGTACTGGCCATTGTGGCTGTGGCTGCTTTCTTCAGTAAGTTCTAGGTCATTTTAACCCCGCCTGGATTTCATTTGAGCACACATGATTAAGAAAATGATGAAGGCTGAGGCTAGTTGTCCTGCTTTCACTCCAGTCAATATTTCTCAGGGAGGATTATGATTCAAACTCAAAAATGTAATCTAAAGACTTGGCTGCTTTAAAGTTATTGGACATTTCTAATGATTCAATTAAATGAACAAGCGCTATTAGACTGTATGGGCAATCTGTCATTAAACAGCTTATATATCACAGTTTAAACAGTAAAACTATTATTTAAAAAATTATTTAACAGCAAAACTATAAAAGCTACCATGCATACATATTAAATGGTAGACTTAAAATAACATGCACAGATCATAGCAAATGTAAAATCTCCAATTAATGCATTGTATAAACTTGTACGCATGAAAACTGCATATATATTTAATATGAAAACATGAATAATATTTAAAATTTGTGGAAAATTTCAATTAATACTTTGTACAAATAATAATTCAAAGTGTGAAACTGTAATATATCACATACATTTATAACAATCCAATAAACTGTATAAATTTATCACATCTAAAACATTGTTAAACATGAAAACTGTTATGCATAGCAAAAAATTGTATGAATTAATAACACTGAAAACATTTGAAAATGGCAATTCATATATTGTATAATTTATACATTTTAACATGCACATATATCAAATTCAGAGTAATTAATGCATTGTATAAATATATATTTTTAAATATTTGTGAACATTTTAATTACTACCTTACATGAATTTATAACATTTAAAACATTAAAACTGCAACACATTGCATATATTATTTGCTGTAAATATGAATGCTATAGATGCATACGATTTTCAACATGTGTTGAATCAACAAGTTATGAATGAATATATTTTATAACATTTATAACATTTAAAATGTTTACAACTTGCCCTGACCTGAATAAAATAAAATAAAATAAAAAAAATAAAATAATACAATAAAATAATAAATATTGTCCTGAGAATACAGTTCATTTGAGATGCAAGTCTCTTTAATGTTTGTTTTTAATGTGGGTGAGGGAAATTGACCTAATCTTTTCTGTTTATAACTTTTCACACATTCACTTTTCGCAATAAAAATGAGTCACAAATTGACAAGTCTGATCATCTCATCAGTAACAGTTATTTAGTCACTCTTTTGACTGTTGTGACTCAAGAAACAAAAACAGACTGATTCATTTAACCTCATTGCTGGTTGTTTTAATAACAAGTGCTGTTTTTACTCTTTCTTCCTCTTCATGAAACAGTCAAGCAGTTGATTGAGAGCAAGTATTATTTTTGCTCCAAGTCAGTGAAGTTCATTCCGCTGGAGAAGGCCTGTGATGGGAAGGAGGACTGCAGCGGAGCCGAGGATGAGTCAGCCTGTGTCACGAAGTTTGGAGTCAACTCCACTTTCCCCCGTAAGACACACACACATGCACACACACACACACACACACACACACACACACCCACATACCTGCTCACCGACATGTGTGCAGTCAGCACTGCTAGAATCTGTCTGGTTTCAGGATAAACAAGACAAATCCCCCAACCTAACCTTCATTCTGTCTGATTTCCTGAATGTC